TATTGTAACGCAACACAACTTGTCGTATAAACTGCATGTTTGCACACAACTCGTTTATTTCGAGAAAATCACTTACACAATAAGGATTTAATTGTAGTTTTACGTCTTTTGACGAAGGTCGTTTGTTATTTTCCTTCGTAAGCTTTCTAAAAGACATACATTGTTTCGCAAGCCGTCATGAGGTGAAGTATAAGACCTATTTATTTGGTACATCGGATGAAGATAATTCGGTCCAGCGACTGGGATTAGCTTCATCTAATGGACTCAACAGTTTATATTTCATACTTCTACCTGATGTCACAAGCAGATCCAGCTTACAAGACGTCAGTTCAGTCTTTGGTCTTAGGAGGGATTCCTGACCACAACTGACTAAGGTTTTCAGGAAATGTAGTCACTACAGTTATGTCGGGCATTATTAATGTAATATTAACGTCCTCGAACGTTGGCTTGACGTCCAAAATTATTATGAACCCTGTCAGACGTAAGTGCAGTGTTAGAATGAATATAACATAACCTTCAAAGGCGCTCCAATGAAGCTGCGTGGAATTATATGGCTTGGTATGTAATTAAATTCATAAAGACAGTGTCTTTCAGGAAATGGTTTATTATTAGAAATTAGTCTTACGTAAGCCGTCATGGACCACCTGTACATTTTAAGGATATCCGTTCAGTTAACCAATGAAAGATTACAATTCTTTTAAAGAAGGTTATTTCTGACAATAGTCTTCTTCTGCAGCTAAATGAGTGTAAAAAAGTTGGATGTTGTTTCCGTGTTCCGTCGCATAATACACTGTATTACAATATTTAGAGGCTTCATGGAGCAGAGTCCCCTCTAAAAAGCTTATAGTCGGTCAGCTAGAGCACGAAAGTTCATTACTGTGTTCTCAAGAGTCCACCGCTGGTCCCTGAATCCAGTCCACATCCATACACACTGACTGCGTTCGTGAGATAAGTTTTAACTCTTTTGTCCCGATCGCCCGAGATGTCTGTTGTCTGAAAGATGATGCTCTAGCTAAATGATATTGATTCGATCTCTAATGTTCATACCGCAACCTGCATCAAACTTCAGTGAATTCTTTCAATGAAAATGTGTCTGCTGCATGAGTGAGACATCTTTCTCTTCAACGTCACAGGAATCCATTGCAATTTCACAGTTTAGTGTCCAATTAAACATAAAACAGACTGAAACTTTGAGGTGAACAATTCTGTCACAGATCATCAATAGTCTGAGATCCGTTCTCTGTCTTCAAGGTGATCTCTCGCAAGTACGAAAGTATTCGGATTTTAATGAAATTTGTGTTTATGAATCACGAATTGGGAAAGATATGGAATTAAATAATCGTGTCCTATCTTAAGATTCTATTTCATAAGATAGTGTAGTTGCGTCATATTGTGATTTATTAAATTAAAATTAAATTATTTGGTTATTCCGTCAAATCACAATGTATTTAAAATAAGATAATTAAAATAATTAAAATATCATTCTGTGTTCCATATCGAATAATCGATTTACAATTGGAACAGTTACAACATGTTTCGGTTTTATTAAACCATCATCAGGTGTAAAATTATATTAAATTTAAAACTCAATTACAATTATTTGTAATTGAGTTTTAAATTTAATATAATTTTACACCTGATGATGGTTTAATAAAACCGAAACATGTTGTAACTGTTCCAATTGTAAATCGATTATTCGATATGGAACACAGAATTATATTTTAATTATTTTATTTTAAATACATTGTGATTTGACGGAATAACCAAATAATTTAATTTTAATTCTATTTCATGTTTGTTGTGCCGGCACTGAGAAAAATCGCGAAACATCTCAGTCAGGAGAGCCAATCTTTGAACAGAGAATCGAATTTCCCCCTGAATAATTGAAAGCAGGAGGGGCAGCTGTTACAGTAGGTCTATACGTGATTTAAGTCTTGCACCGATTGTCGGGAGGCCCTGTGCCAATGCTCCGTGTGCTGGAGTACACGTGTGCGTCCGTGTACAGCTGGAACGTAGCGACAGCAAATCAGATCGATGTGCTCTATATATAACCAGGTAACCATGGCGACCTCTGATGGTTCGTACAGGAAGTCGCTCTTTCTCAGATTGAAGGGGAGTAGGGGTCCGAACTCATGACTTGGGAACGGATTCGGCCCAAAAAGTATCCGTGACACCGATTAAGTTTTCCCTGTCTCTGAGCATCGCATCATGAGAGACAGGGAACGCGGACGTGAAGCTGCATGCAATTCATAACATCACAGCCGGTTTCGGACGAGCGGTCATTTCCACGCTTCGATCGATTTATACTCGACGAAAAAACACCCGGAACAAAATGAATATGACGTTGGAGCTTCTCTGAACACAGCGGCGAAGGACAGAAAGAATTTGCTTTGTCGGGAGTAGAATGCGGTCGTAAAACCCAGAGCCAGTCGCTTTACTTACAAGTGTATTAAACAAAGTACAAGGCTCGGATAGACGCGTCCATCTGACAGACAATTTACAGTCAGACAGCTCGAGTGATCAACTCTACATGGCATTACAAGGCAAATAAACGACGAAATTTGTTTCATTTATGCAAGAATTAATTAACTAGTACTTTGTCTCGTAATGGAAAACTGTTCGCTCATAAACGTATTTATCTTCCTGCATACTGTCTCCGCTCAGTTAAGGGTAATAGAATAGATACAAAGACATCAAAAATGTGTTTTATTTCCTCTCATGAATCATATTTTAAACGTTTGTTATGAAAAAATCCAAACAGCGTTCTAATCGTGGGGGTCTCGGTTTCGATTCCCGGCGGTGCCCGAATTTATAACTTGTGTTGGGCAAGGCCGTGGTCTAGGCAACACGGAGTTTTCCTCCGTGGCATCCCAACAATTACTCCATGCACACACAGAAGAAGGCAATGGCAAACCACTTCTGGATCATCTGCCAAGAACGCATATGAACAGGTCCCAGTCCGAGAAAAGGAGGGAAGGATCCTGTTCATATGGACCTATCGGCAAACCACTTCTGGATCATCTGCCAAGAACGTATATGAACAGGTCCCAGTCCGAGAAAAGGACGAAAAGATCCTGTTCATATGGACCTGTCGTCAGACAGAACACTAAATAAAAAAAAATGCTTGTACTGAATTTTGATATCAATTAACGTTGAGTATACTAGCAACATTGTCGGTCTGTTAACAGAAAATCCTGACTAAGGACTTTCGTGGTTTTCCTCAGCTCATATAGACAATCCTACTTTATGTGATAGTACTTTGAAATAGATCACGACCGCTTCCTTGCACATTCTTCCGTCATCTTCAGTCATCCGTATGTCGACGTTGCATTCACTATTCAGTTGAGAAAGCTTCGTTTAAACAAACAGACAAAAGTACTAATCCAGAAACTTTTAAGCTTGTAAAAGAAGTCTTAGCTGTAATAACCACGTCCTGCTGCCAAAGAAGTGCTTGGTGTTTGCGAATCAATAAAGCTGACACTGATCCTTACGACAGTTGTTCATCTTTCCACTCGGATGCTAGGCAACGCTAGTGAACTTTTTCAAATGTTTTCAAGTATTCTCTCCGTTGCTGGGCAACGCCGGGTTAAGTATATTCTCGGTTACTATAACTGGATCCACCGATTATGGCCGCTGATCTTTTAGGGAGAGCCCAGTATGCGGACCACTCAATGAAGGAAAGAAGGAGTTTTCGTCGGTCAGTACAGTCTGTGCCAGTGCAGCAGAGTAGAAGCCTGATAATTCTTGTCTTGTGACTGTGCTGTGTTAACAACATGCCACCTGTTCGTTACAATCACCTTTCTGGTCATTGATAACGCCTCGTATCATAACACTCAGACACACAAACCTCCGACGTCTTAATCAAAGAAGGACGAAGTGAAAGCCTGGCTATTGGAAATAAACATATTATTTTGTGACATGCTGAAAGTTCCACCGTACGATTTAATCAAATTAAATAAGTCAAAGCACAAATATTATGTGAGTGATCACATTTTAGTAGACAAAGAACGTCCTGTGCTGAGACTTCCGCCGTACCTTCCCGATTTAAACCCCACTGAAAGTATTTGGGGAGATGTAAAACAATGGGTTGCAAGCAAGAACGCAACATTTAAAAAATAAGACGTCGAGCATCTGTGTCGCCAGAGATTCGAAGAAATTAGGCAAGAGGAATGGGATAATGTATGTCAGCATGTGAAAAAATTAGAATAAAATTATTATTAGCAAGAAGGTATAATCGAAGACGCTATTGAACGTATTATAATTGAAGATAATAGAGTGGACGGCAACAGCGGCAGTGACGAATCGAGTGATGTCAGAAAGCGATGGTCTGTGGGAGTGGAATAATTGGAAGACGACCGAAGAGTTGTGAAGAAGATAAAATGATCTAATACTCTCTGCAGTTTTATTTTTCTAGTGGTTTTTAGTGCAGTGAAATAGACATTCCTGTGTTATATACCGTGGTGATATTTTATTTGGAGTTTACTGTACGCGGCCTGCTGCCATCCCTTCCAGCAAACTTCTGGTAAGTGACTCGCTCCGATGTTCCAATTCACAAATTTCAGCGGCCAAAAACGCTGGAACGCTTTATACTCAATGCAGTCTAGACATGCGGCCCATAGATTAGTTAAAGCACAGATCACCTGAGGACACAGAATATGTTAAGAACGATCAAAAGTTGGCTTAGCTTCAATGAGTAATTCGACTTCACGCTAATAGATGGCATACTAACCGTTAAGGACACTTACCGCTATAGTAGCCATCAACAAATTGCCTGCTTCAAGGTCACAGCAAAATCATAGAAAGTTGCAACACGAATAGCTGAGTCCAGGTGGGTAAAAGCACCTCAGAACTCGTAGTGCCGTGTTGTAATGGGGGGGGGGGGGGGGTTCCGTGACCTTTAAGCACGCAGTTTGATGAATATTATAGTGATTTTATTATATAGTGTGATGGCAGATGTTTGTGAATATTTCCTTTGATCGCGTTCTTTTCGCGTGTCACAGATTGTTCGAGGAACACCAGGAACTACTTAACCTTTTCGAGAAGTTCAGGGAACTTCGCACCCGCGAAGAACAAGCGAACAGCATGGAGTTGGCAGAGCATGCTAACACTGTGATGACCACGCTGGACGAGGGCATCAAGGGACTGGACAACCTGGACTCCTTCTTCGATTTCCTGACACAAGTCGGCGCTTCTCACCACCGCATCCCAGGGTTCAAGCCCGAGTACTTTTGGGTGAGATTATACTAACATGGCGGCCGTGTAGACTTTTGAGATGGAAGTAACACTATTTCATTTCACTCTATCGT